ACCAATCCTATATCCTCCTATCACCCCTTCAATATCGCTATTTCTTATTGCTTATCCAAATCTATTTGAAACCTATTCACAATCGCAGGTGGTTTCCACATCCGTCCTACTATGCTAGGAGTATTGATTCAAGGCTGCGGTTTAATCCACAACCCTCTTCCTTAGGTTCCGATCAGAGTCCTCTCAGGCTCCGTAGGTTTTTTCATTTATCCGCCTGTTTCAGTGATTTCACGCTACCGTTGCAATCGTATCCATGCTACTTAATGCGTTGTTCTACGCTCTACCTCAAGCCTTGGATAGCACGTATACACCAGCTTCACTGAGAAAGCCCCTAAAGCCTGGATTATCAGTTGGCATGGCAACCTAAATTGACACTGCATATGCCCTTATCTCTTTGCGGCATGTGTACAGAGTAAATCTCGTGGTCAAGCGTTTATTTCATGAACCACGTCTATGAACAAACTTATCTACTAATAGCTAACTAGAAATGGCCACCACCGTTTCTCTCGCTCTTCTATCCCTAATGCCAAGTCTATGACTTTCTATTGCGTGCCGACCCCTAAATGTGATGGTTTTACTTGATTTGAAAAGGCTCACTATAGACGTCTTGTCTTGGTTTACGATTGTTCCTTTCTACTCTCTTGTAATTTATTTGCCTGAAATTAAAAATATTAGCTTTGTCCAGACGTCTTCTTTTTTGATATTGCTGTTCCCTGATTTTCTCCGAGTTTGCTTAGACATTACGCAAAGTCTTCAGTAATCCTGCTTTATACAAGTCTACTATTCATTAGGTTTCTTTCAGTCAGGATATCAATGGTCTCTCGTATCCTGCGTTTTCGTATATTTCCGCCATATTCAGTCAGCCCTTCTGCCGATTTCCACTTGATTTCGTCTCCCTTTCGTGGTCTTCATATGTTCGAGTAAGCTATTTAAGTTCATATATATCAAGTCTAAATTAAGGAAAGATTAAGGCAGCGTTGTCACTGCGGATGATTTTCAAAAACTCCAGAGTATGATGGGCCAGAAATCACAGATGGTCTGGGATCTGATAAATAAGCGACACGACAAGAAATTGCTTAGCTATAAGATAATAAGACAGTGCAGGATCAAACCAACCTGGAAAAATTTTGATGGTTCTGTATCGAAGACAAACTGCTATAGACGACGATAGAGTTAAGATAGTAAACCTATCCTTAATCCCTCTTAATTCTAAAACTATGGATCTCTAAAAGAAGGGGTTAAATTTTTCCATAGCTTACGAAGGAAACGTTTTTAGAGATATTCTGGTGGAAGATGCCAACATAACTGATAAATATTTAGAAGATGCAAGGCGGGAGATGGAAATAGAAATAATCTCATGGATCTTGACACACCAAGAACTGATACAGATAGCAGATTAGCTAATATACGTAGAAAATAGAAAGTATCCTAGGCGACCGATCAACGGGACACTAAAGAATAGGCTAAAGGAAATGCATAATAACGGAGATGACAATGGTTAAAAACTTTAATAAAAAATGACGCAAGATTATCGACAGCCTACGGAATACCGACGATACACAAGGAAGGAAATCCGCTAAGATTAAGAGTCAACAATAAGCATGGAGCAGCACACAAACTAGCAAAATTCGTTTACTTGAAGCTCAAGAAAGTAAATGACAGGTTCTCGAATGCCGTGAAGAACTCACATGAATTATTTCAAAGCATCAAGAACATTGGGCTGATGGGGACGGAACAGTTGGTAGGTTTCCATGTACGGTCCATGTACACAAACACCTCAGGTGAGAAGGCGATAAACACCTTACTGAAGATATTGAAACGAGAAAAGCATATCCTGGAGGCAGAATAAATACAGTAGGAATCGATAACACGACTGATAAACCTGACAGTAAGGACCACATATTCTACATTTAACAGCAGTATGTACAAGCAAATATTTGGACTACCGATGGGATCTCCACTCTCACGTCTTTTGGCAAATGTATAAATGGACAAATTGGAAGGAATTTGAGAAGTTGCCACTTCAATCAAGATTAATTATGCGATACTTGGAAGACTACTTTGTAATTCGGTCACATAAAAAGAAAAATTTGAAATGATTCCTCTATTTCATTAACCAACCTGATGAAAGAATTAAATTGACTATGAAAATGGAGAAGGATGAGCAACTACCCTTTCTGGATATTGAAGTCATGCGCTATAACGGTACGCTCATGAGACTATACAAAAAAAATTAATATGCGGGAATAACCCTTAGTTTTTAGTCTCACCATAACTACAGACTGAAGATCGGAATACTGAGATTTTTGATAATCAGAAACTTACGAGAAACTGAAACTGAGTTCTGAGACGAGGAGTGGACAAAATGCCCTAGTAACGGATACATTAGAGAATTTATAGAAAAAAAATGTGGAGTCCAACTCAGATTTTATGAAAATCCGATCATAAATGAGGAGGACAATTAGAAGTGGATGTGCTGGTCCTCCTGTGAACTGAGCCAAAGATTGCGACCATACTAAGAAAATGGAATATCAAAGTTATAACAAAGGAGAGGACAACACTTTTCATCAGTCTGCCGACGCAACAGGATAAGACTGACAAACTTGATTGTTCGGGAGTTTATCTCATAAAATGCGGCAACTGTGAACATAAGTATAGTGGTGAAACAGGAAGAAAAATCGGCCTACGAATCAAGGAACATCAAAGACTCTGCAGAAACACGGATACGGAAAGATCCTAAATAGTGAAACACATTGCACGAACGGGACATGAAATCTACTGAAAGATTGGCTTCATGTGATGAAAATACGAAAAAACGCAAGATCCGAGAGGCCATCGATATACTGACTGAAAGAAATCTAGTGAACAGGAAATATGAAGGCAGGATCAGCAAGAACTTTGCATATTGTCTAAACAAACTCGGAGAAGACAAAGCAACAGTGAGATCAGCAAAAAGAAGACGACTGGAGAAAGGAAACATCTTTAATTTTTTTAAAGAAATCGCAAGGATACAAGAAAGGAACAAGTAGAAGTCAAAAGGAGACTTCAACAGTGAGTCTAATCAAAAAAGTAGAACAACATTTGTGGGTTGGCATACAAGAGATGAAGGCACACGATTTCATAGACATGGTATTATTGATAGAAACAGGGGACTCGGCGGAGAGTAGAGCAATTTGGCTAACAGTAGACATATAAGATACCTTCACCGTATTTCGTCTAAGGTGATGAAGAACTGGTAGTAGAATTTTTCTACAATAATATGACTAGAGCTGGCGTTTCCAATGAATTACACAGAGCCTTGCTTTCCCAAAAATTATCATCCAGGGTGGACTGCAGTTTCGACCTTGCCTAGGTCTTATCAACACTCCTAGCGGGAGTCGAATCCTGACAGTACAGCATGAGAGCTTGACACGTTAACCACTCAACCACTTAATGAAAACGTCGGCTCTACTCATATCAGTGGCAAAATTCTACGACCAGTCCTTCGTCACCTTAAATGAAATACGGTGAATATATCTTATATAACTGATTTACTGGCAGTCTCAAAACTCTAATTATACGAAAAATAACAGATGTGTTTGATCATAGACGTGGTCAATAAAGTACGTCTATTGTCAGCCAACTAGCTCTACTCTCTACCGCACCTATCCTGCTTCTATCCAAAATAACAAAGTTATGGCTTCCTATGTCCTAGTCTCTAGTGTGCCGACCCACAAATGTTATGATCCTTTAATGAAACAGATGAAAACAATTGGGACTACAAAATTTGTCGGTTGGCACACAAGAAACTAGGGCATAGATAGTAATGTGGATAGAAGCACGGTAGATGTGGCGAAGACTAGAGCTAGTTGACAAACAGCAAAGATGTTTGATCATAGACGTGTTCCATGAAGCAAGGGCATGGCCTTTAGAATTACTCGGGCTCTTAATCCTCAAGTTAGTCTCCCATCCAGCTTGAGAATCCTAAATTTTAGGGGTTTACTCAGCGAGGCTCGAATATGTGTGCTATCAAAGGCTTGAGACAGTGTGGGAAATAACGCTTCGAGTAGTAAAGATAGGGTGGCAGGGGTCGAGTGAAATAACTGAACCAGAAATGTAGGAGGCGGATCCTACGGGGCAAGAAGGAGACTCAGATAAATCCTATGGAAAGAAGATTGCGGGATGAGGGGATAAGAAAGTCAATGCATGGCTTGGAGAATTTTCATGAAATCCGCCAAAAAATGGCACACCATGCCACATTTAAATGAAAAATTGTAAGGATGAAGGGGTGATACGAAAATATAGGATTGGTGAATAGCCCCGGGCTTGAAAAGTGCCACAATTGTTTAGCAGACAAGCGTTTGAAGGATCGGCTTTATTTGTCTCTTTGATGAGTCATAGTATGATGCTAAGAATGGCAATGTTCACTGACGATGCCGATGAAACGTCTGGGAATGTAACACGTACACGGTTCGACTCATGAAATTATAATACATACTATAGACTCCGGACTAGATGCGTTCCTCTAGGTCTTCCTCTCACTATGACCAAGTTGCGAAAACAAGGTCAAGCAACTTCAAAATACGTTTAATTTGGCAAAAGGAAAAATTTTAAGGTTCTATTTTATTAAGAAATTATTTATTAAGTACTTTTTATTTAGCCGATAGGAAGTTCGGGATAAGAGTTTTGGTATGCATAGTATTGGTCTCTTGAGTAATTCAATATGGCAACAAAATCACCATTTATGAATTTCGGATTGATTTCGAATTCTTGTATTGTTCGATAAAAGATAACATATCCGTGGATGCCTGGTTAATTGCTAAGAATGTCACAGCTTTAGCAGACTCAAAGAGATTGGGCTAATAAAAGGTCCTTGAAAGCACCATGCATCCTCATCTTGTTTGACATGTAAAAAAATTTAATCAGGGAAAATCATATTTTCATTTTGTATTTTTCTTGTTGTCTTATCAGCCTGATGGCTATATTCTAAACAGGTAACATAGGAAAGGGGCCCATTAAGTCTACCATTCTGAATATAAACCATAAAAATTGATATGATAACGTACAGGCAGTTTGGAGGCGCCCGACTTTCTGCCAAAAGCAGTTAGGCCATGGCTAGAAGATACGGCCCCCGTGTCACGCAATATACCATTCTTTGGTTGACCTAAAATGATTTCGTTAGATACATCTAGAGGGATGATAGGAGTCGAAGTAAAAGATGAATTGGAATATCTGGAAACGGTGTGGCTGGGAGTGTTGAAGGAAGTTTGACCATTGCTAACACCCCCAGCGTCCGTGACTGGAGCTGCAGCAACAGGAATAAAGGGAGCGCAGTTAGGAGACGATGCTATAAGAGATGCAGTAGCATCAATGAGCGAGTTGGTAGTGGAGGATGAATTGGAAGAAATGAACTGCGCAAGGTTTAATGTAGGGGATGACTTTTGTGCAGGAGTTTGCTGAAGCGATGAGGTCACTGCAGATGCACTAAGTGACGAACTGCAGCGCGAAACACCATTAATTTCGGTAAGAGCTGGCATTCCAGAGAAAGCGCAAACTGAGCCAAGTGGGCTAGTGTAGTAGGTGGTGGTGGAGGTCAGCTTGGGAATGCCACTGCCAAGGCATAGTTTCTTAGGCGAAACAGAGGTGGAGGCGGAAGTAGAGGCGGTCTGCGACCTGAAACAAAGTAAAGTTGAGTAAGGAAATGTGGAAATTAAAAAGTAAATAAGAGAATTAGGAAAGAGAAGACAAAGGATAACACAAGAATGGTGATGAGACGAAGATGGCGCGATAGTAAATGAAGACAGAAGACGGCTGCAAAAGGGAAATGCACAAAGAAGAAAGCCAAAATAGGAGAAAAGAATGCTTACAAAAGCCTAATCAAGGCAGAACGTAAACTATTGACTAGCTATGATGTCCAAGTGCATAACTTATGAAGTATATTTAAAATAGTAGAATTTATTGGATTCCTAATAGTTTGTACTAGAGCAGAGAGAATATAAAATAGTCTTTTTAGAGTGACTTATAAATTAGCGTCTTTGCCGTAGCCCCTCGTCCAAGACTTGAATGACCCTGGGAGTAGTCGTGAGACAAACACGAAGTATAAACTATGGTCAATGGACTATTGATAAATTAATAACATGGGGCTATTTAAGATGTTAAGAGAGGCGCAACTATTAAAAAACATTCAACTGATGCTGTAGTTAATGAAGCATGAATTATTATCTTCAAAATGCTGCGAAACGACAAAGTATATCTAGATGAATATAACGAACTAATGAGTAGGAATGCATAATTTGAATACTAAGTTAGTTATATTAAGAAGGAATCAAAAATTTCAAACTAAATCCGAATGAGTGTGGATAGGATATAGCCACTTAAGCAATCGTTGATAAAAAAAATATCTCTTTGAAATCGTTCCTTAGCAGGAATCTCAAGAATAGCCTATCCATGCAAAAAATTTGAGAGTTAATTCAGCATTTTCCTAAGAGAAAAAAATCATTTAACCCAAACACACCAAAAAAGCGGCAAAAGCAAAAATAGCTTGGAAACTAACTAACTGTTTAGTAAGCTGGGCAGTAATCAATTGTGTAAGAAGGCACGGATGAATAGATGACACTAGTTTTGATTAGAATTTAATATAATCCGAAAAAATAGTCGGGCTAGCCTTGACCGTCCACAAAGGCTATTGGTCCATCACAATTTTATAAGAAGTAAATTGCCACAGAAAATAAGAGCTAATTCGCGATAAAAATTCAATACCTTGATTGTTAAGAAAAATTGTTAGGGGAAACAATCTTTCTAAAATAATTAAAAAGTATAAAGTACATAAATATAAATTATTAATGATGGAATATGATTATGCAAATCTTAAAATCTAAAAAAAATATCCCGAGCATGACAAAATTCTGGACAACCCTCATAAAAGCATTAAAGCAATTACACAGACTATATACATTGTTTTTGCAAAAAAGATGTCATAGCCTCAGTAATTTGAAGGAAATTTCCATCAAAAGTAAACAATAAAGAATGTATTATAAAATCAAAGCCATAAGCAAGCCAAATTGTGTTAAAATCTATCGACAACATTAAATTTAAAACCGAAACTATCTATCATAAAGTAATGATTATGAGAGATAAATAGAATAATTTAAATTACGACGTGTGCTTTCGGTCTAGCACTTGACTAATGAACCTAATTTGATGAGAAATAAGAATCGAAAGTAAGAAGAAAAACAAAAAAAATGGTAGACGATAGACAATGAAGAAATAGTTTCCTAGACGAAACACCAGATTATATTCCGATGAATTTGGATAAAATGAACAAATAGGCATAATAGTTGGGTCTCCTCAACAATTTAGAGCATACTTAAGAGCTAATAATCGTCTATATAGAGAGAGTCATCGATAAACATAGATAGCAGGAGTAGACGCGTAAGAGAAAAGAATAGCCGAAATCACGCCCAGGTTATGTGATCTCTATCTCACACTAAATTTAGTTATTTAAGCCTTTAATTCCTTATATAAATCATAGATAGTGCGAATTATGGTCAATATATGGTTACAAAGCGGAAATATATGAATCACTTAAAAATATTCACACAAAAAATAGATCAAGTTGTCGGAGAACGAGCGTGATCACCTTCGAAAATTAGAAGGAGATTTCAACATTTCATTATTGCAACCAAGAGTGCAAGTACAGTAACTTGGTGACTAGTTCGCACTTTTATCCCATGGAAGAGAAAAATTGGAGGATTTCCTGAAGTTCATAAATCGGATTGATGAAAGAAGCAAATTCACAATAAAAGTAGAGGAAGAGGAGTGATAAGCTTTCCTGGTTGTTGAAGTTACTAGCTCGAATGGGACGCTCAAAAGGAAACTGTTCCAAGAAAATTCATATGCCGGAATAATACTGAATTTTCAGTCCCATCACAATTACAGACTAACGATCTGAATGAGGAGCATGATCAACAAAATACTACGATTAACAGACGTGGAATTCTGGGATGAAGAATTGGGTAAATTGACTCGGATATCCCTAGGCAACACATACCCGAGAGAAAATAAAGAAACATACGTGAAAAACGGATGACAGGACAGGGATTTGGAAAAAAATAGGCATAGAAAAAGACTCACTTCGATCTAATAACTTAAAAAATACGGCCAATATTAAGCAAAATGAATATTTAGGTGACCACGAGGGACAAACCAAGCAATTATCACAGGTTTAACCATGTAATATAAAGGGGTAGACAAATTGAATTACTTCAGATTTTACTGCATAGCATGCGGTGTTTGAAAAAAGAAACATATTGACGAAACAGGGATAAAAAGCAGCATAAGATGAACCAAGTAAAATCAAAGGCTCTACAGGAAAATGGAAACCAAAATACAAGAAGAAGCAGAACACATTGCAGACTGGACACAAGAACGAATGGAAGGCAGCAGAAAGAAGGGCCACATAAGGTGAAAACACGAAAAAAGGAAGATTAGGGATGCCATTGAAATACTAGTGGAAAGAAATTAAATGAATATTAGGTTTGAAGAAGGCAAAGTTTGCGATAACTTTGCCTATTGCTTAAGCAAACTCGAAGAAAACAAGTATATGAAAATACCAACAAAAAAGATTACTAGATTAATGACATATCATTAATTAAAGGAAATGGGGTTATAGGGAGAGAAGTGGATGATGAAAATTTGGAAATCAAGCGAAGACATTCTAAGAAAGTGTGGTCTACTCGAAGAAACAACTACAACGTTGGGGGCCTGGCAGTGACAGAAATAAGGAGACGGATAGCTACAATCGTAACAGAAATTCGGAGTTATTGCCAAATTGATAAGAAATCCTTTCGAAGTGCAGCAGGCAACCAGAGATTTGCGTCCACAGTTCGCACAGGTTACGCAGGTTTAATCAAAGAGACCACATGTGAAGGCATAGCCTAATATCTTTAAGCATGGGAATCACCGCCTAATCGCTCTACTTGGTGAGGCGGCAGTATAGGTGCCTCTAAGAAATTGATAAATAGTGCATTTATAAAACGTATAATGGGACTGGAACCGAGTGAAATCGGTCAATCAGAAAAATAAGAAAAGGATCTACGGGCCCTTGAGGAAGGTCCGGATAGGAAGCTTGAGACGGATTAGCAGATCGAAAGAAAAGGGAGTGAGTATGATGACGCCACACTAAACTTGCTAAAATAAAAAGGGCACACCCTTATATGAGTGGGATGTAAACAAGTCAGAAGATGTGATAGAGCGGTAATAGGATAAGAAAGTAAGGAGTAGATAGATGGGCCA